TATTTTTCGAGCATTTTTTGCCCAGAGTCGGCTTCACTTGGGCCTGTCCCTCTACAGGGGGAACGTTCAAAAATAGCAGAAAAATAGGCTGGGACTATGTTTCGAGCATTTTTTTTGCCATCTTGGAGTATTTCTTGAGTATGTTTTATTTTTCGTCAAAAATATCCCCCTGTAGGGGGACACGCCCGACTGAAGAGTCGGCCGTGTGCACCAAGAGGCTGTTTTTTGTTCAGGGTCCGGCGATGACCCCGGTCATGGATCGACTACACGTAAGAGTGACCCTTCGCCGGAGTGACCTTTGGTGCGGGCTCCCCGGGGCCCCCCCGACCGCTGAACGCGATGCGATAGTGGCTGCTTGCGCCCTTGGATTTGGCCACCTTGCGCCCCCTCAGTCCGCGCAGTAAAGGTCACTCTTACCCAGGGTCACTCTTGCGTGTCGCCGAATGGAGCTTGCCCCCCCCTCCCCCCCAGGATAACCCAACCTTGCCGGTTGTGCAGGTCCGCGGGAGGGGACGCGCGGGCATCTGCAGGGCTGCCCACAGCGCGAGGGTCAGGTTATCGGCCAGCCCCCTCCTCCCCCCCCCCCCGGGATAACCCGGGTTATCGCCGAGTCAAAAAAAAGGTCTCCAAGGCCGATCCTCGCCACACCCGATGGTGGCTTGGCGGCGGACACCAACACCAACATTGGCGGTGGGCCTGCACCGAGGGAAGACGATCTCGATCTCGGGGATGGTGGCACTACTCGGGCTGGTCCTGGGCGCCGGCAGGCCACCACTGGCACCTGGATCCAAGATCATCTCCCCCTTGTGGAGGCAATCGAGGTAGAATCAACGCCATGAACGTAAACTTGTGGCGCTCCGCGCGGATTTCTTGGATCCGCGCTGGGCCCCCACGGTGGCGCCTGCGGCGCCGCCCCTGTCGCGCTCCGCGCGTCAGGGAGGGGGCTCCAGCGCAGATTCAAGAAGTCCGCTCGGAGCGCCAAAAGTTTATGTTGATGCCGTTTTTTCTTTCTCCAAGAATCCAGGATCCTCTTCCCCTTGTGGAGGTAACCCCCCGTGTTGGTGTCGGTGCCAATCTCCAAGCCTCCGACATGCCCATACAGTGGAGACCCATGCCAAGAAGCACCCTGCTTGCCTCCAGGGTGCCCTGGGTTTCTTGGGTTTCGATGGTTCTGCGATGGAAAGCGCGACGTTCCCACACCGAAGATCAGTGGACGCCCTGGGGTCTCAGGGTTGGGTGTCTTGCGGATGGTTTCTTGTGGAGCGACTGGCCTCCACTGTATCCTGGGCTGGGCCCAGCACGGGCACGAGAGGGCGTGCACGCCGGCGCCGGCTCTCTCCAAGGCGGCGGCCTCGCGAGGGCGCGAAGGGGTGGCTGCGCGGCCGAGAGCGCATCGTCGCGGGGCGCGGCGCCCGCGCCGTCGGGTGGCCCCCTGGGGGGGATCCCGGGCTCATAGGAAGAGCCTGGCGGGGATCGGCGTCTGTGTGTTTCGAAGAAGAAGAAGAGCAAATAATGAGAGTAAGAATAGCAATAAGAAGAAGAAGACAACTGCATAAACATCGAATGTCTGGCGCTCCAAAAGAGTACGTGTGTGTGTGTGTGCCGTTGTGTCTTCCTCTATGTGTTCGCGGAGGGCGCCCGCCCCAGGCTGGAGTCGCCGCCGGACCTCCTGTTCCCGGCCGAGGCCTCCTCGATCTCCGGCAGCGGGGGCCGAGAAACCCACCTAGGGGGGGGGGGAGGGGCTCCAGCAGCAGGGTCCTGGCCCAGGGGTCTTGGAGCACCAGAGCACTGGGGGGCTCAGGTTCTGAGACTCGCGACCCTCTGGGTGTGTGTGGCAAGACGCTCCCCCGCCCACATTCCCCCCGACGGTCTCTGGCCTCCTCCTCCTCCTCCTCCTTCTCCTTCTCCTCCGCCTCCTCCTGCTCCTGCTCCTCCTCTCCTCCTCCTCGTTCTCCTTGCCGCCATGTCTTCATCTCCCTCCTCAACCTCATCTTCGTCCTCCTCCGCTGTCTCCGCTTGCTCCTCCTCCGCCTCCTCTTCCTCCCTGCTCCCTCCCTCCTCCCCCTCCCTACCTCCCTCCCTCTCCTCCTTCCCAGCCTCGAAGAAATAGCCAGGAGAATACCCAACCCATCCAAAGCACGAACAGCAGCACCTCAGGCAGAGGACACGAGCCCGCCGCGGTGGACCGCCCCGGTGCGCACGGCAGCGGCGGCAGTTCCGCGCCCTGCAGCCCCCCCAGGAGGGGGGGAGGCGACCCTCGGAGCTGCGTCGGGTGCCGCCCCAGCGTGCCCCCCCCCTCCTCCTCCTCCTCCTCCTCTCCTCCTCCTCCTCCTCCTCCTCCTCCTCCTCCTCCTCCTCTTCCTCCTCCTTCTCCTCCTCCTCCTCCTCCTCCTCCTCCTTCTCCTCCCCCCCCTCCCCCCCAAGGGGCGCAGGACAGTGGCGACGGTTGCGCGCCTGCCAGCACCCAGGGAAGGCGGGGCCTCGTTCGGATCTGCGCCTGGCGAGACTCCGCGAGGCGCTGGACGCTTCTGCGGTTTTTCCTCGGCTCGCGCGTGGAGCGGGGGCACGGGCAGGTCTGTTCAGCTCCCCGTTTGCTGCGCCCGCTGCGCTCAGGAGAGAGAGAGAGAGCTCCCCGAGCCGGAAGGCTGCGGGCACGGCGGTTGCACGCAGAAGCGCGGCGCGTGCTGCTCAAGCAGATCGGGCGGGGAACCGGGTTACGACGAAGTCCGAGCATGATGGCCCTCGGCCCACCGGGGGGCCCAGCGTTGCGGCAAGTTCTGGGGCCCACTTGGGGCCGGCGAGACGCTATAGACCCCCCTGGGACGCAGGATAGTGGCGACGCTTGTGCGCCTGGCGGCACACGGGTCATAGTGGCTCTTTCTTTGGAGACGAAAAGGGGCGCGCGCCGAAATCCATCCCAGACGCTCCCCGAGCCGGAAGGCTGCGGGCACGGCGGTTGCACGCAGAAGCGCGGCGCGTGCTGCTCAAGCAGATCGGGCGGGGAACCGGGTTACGACGAAGTCCGAGCATGATGGCCCTCGGCCCACCGGGGGGCCCAGCGTTGCGGCAAGTTCTGGGGCCCACTTGGGGCCGGCGAGACGCTATAGACCCCCCTGGGACGCAGGATAGTGGCGACGCTTGTGCGCCTGGCGGCACACGGGTCATAGTGGCTCTTTCTTTGGAGACGAAAAGGGGCGCGCGCCGAAATCCATCCCAGACGAAATTGAGGTTTTTCTTAGAGTTTCAGTGTGCAGGCGCGCCCTGCCGCGCGGTGGTTCCCAGACGCACCTTAGAGCGCGCTGACGTATAATGCGAGGCATTCACATTGCACGTTGCGCATGCTATCGGCGGCTGAATTTCGGCGGCGATTTCGGCGGCTGAATTCGGCGGCTATTTTGGCGGAGTTCGCAATTTCATTTCGGCGGCATTTCGGCGGCAAATTTTCGGCGGCAAGTTCGGCGGCAATTTCGGCGGCAATTTCGGCGGCGATTTCGGCGGCAATTTCGGCGACAATTTCGGCGGCAATTTCGGCGGCGATTTCGGCGATGATTTCGGCGGCCCTTTCGGCGGCTCTCCTGGCGGCCCTTTTAAGGACCATTTCGGCGGTTTTGCTCTTGACAGCTGTCGACGAATGCTGCTGGGAGCTCGCGGCGCTCAGCTTCGGTAAAGAGTCGATGCGCGGCGACGCAGACTGACCTGACCTCAGCCCGACGATGATTGTAACATTTGTTATCTTGTGGTTTTGGCGGTTATGATGGCGAAGGCCGCGGTAATGTTTGGTTCAGCATGGATGCTCGTCAGGGGGCATTACAGGCTGGCCTACGCGCCCAGCACTGCATGCTTTCAAACAAGAAAAAATTGTCGCGCAACTCCTTCGGAATTCGGCGGCTATTTGGGGGGCCGTGGTGGCTCCAAAGGGTTGTCCTCGGTGACACGGGGAGGGCGCACGTGGAATCAACGGAGAGAGCATGAGAAGCGCTGATGGGAGCTGGAGGCGCGAAGATGGAGGAGAGGTCGGGGGCGAGGGGAGCAGGGGAGGATGCGGGAGAAGATGGGCAACACGTGCTCTACTCAGAACGAGGGCCCAGCACAGGGAGGGTGGGGAAGAACCTCGGGATTGCTGCCAGGCCTCGTCGCGGGTCGCAGGCTTTCTGTGCCCCAGGCAGCGGGGGCAGCTGCGGGGACCCCGCCTCCGACATCCACCTGCGGGGCTGCCACTATTTCGACCGCTGGGAGACCCTGTCCTCCATCGCGGACCGCCGGAACTTGCCTGGCGTGGTGGTCTTCGGCTCCTCGGTGAGCCCGGGGGACGTCGCCCAGGGGCAGCTGGGCGACTGCTACTTCATGTCCGCGTTGGCATCCGTCGCGGCGGCGTGCCCCAGGTGCATCATGGACATGTTCGTCCACAGGCAGAGGGAGGAGCCTCCTGGGGAGAAGAGCGTCGATGCGCCTCGCATTAAGTCGGGCCTCTCCCCCTACAGGGGAAATATTCAAACATAGTTTAAACCAATTGTCTGGAGACTATTTATTTTAGCATGTTTTACCATTTGGGAGTATGTTTAAGTACTTTTATTCATCAAACAGCTTGCTGAACGGGGTGCTGTTGTGATAGAAGCTAACTCCGGCCGAGGGAATTCAAAGCAGAGACGTTCTCCAACAAATTTGATGGTTCGGACCGTTTCGCCTGATACATCCTCGCAACCCTCGTTTCTGCGTTGTCCAGGATTGGGCGTTTCGCGTGAGACATCCTCTAAACTCTGAGTTCCCAGATGCCGCGCTAGAGGTGGTCCGGCCCGTTTCGCCTGAGACATCCTCGAAATCCTGAGCTCCCAAATGCCGCGCGAGAGGTGGTCCGGCCCGTTTCGCCTGAGACATCCTCCAAACCTTGAGCTCCCAGATGCCGCGCAGGAGGTGGTCCGGCCCGTATCGCCTGAGACATTCTCCAAACTCTGAGCCCCGAGATGCCGTGCGCGAGGTGGTCCGGCCCGTTTCGCCTGAGACATCCTCACAACACTGAGTTCTGAGATACCGCGCAAGAGGTGGTCCAGCCCATTTCGCCTGAGACATCCTCGAAGCTCTGGGCTCCGAGATGTCGCGCAAGAGGTGGTCTGGCTTTTTTCATTTGAGACATCCTCCAAACTCTGAACCCTGAGGTGCAGTGCGCGAGGTGGTCCGGCTCGTTTTGCCTGAGACATCATCGCAATTCTGCGCTTCCTGATGCCGCGCGAGTGGTAGTCCGGCCCGTTTCGCTTGAGACATCATCCAAATTCTGAGCCCCGAGATGCCGCCCAAGAGATGGTCTGGCCCGTTTCGCTTGAGACATCCTCGCACTTTTGCATTCCGAGATGCCGCGCGAGAGGTGGTCCGGCCCGTTTCGTTTGAGACGTCCTCGAAACTCTCAGCTCTGAGATGCCGCGCGCGAGGTGGTCTAGCCCGTTTCGTTTGAGACATCCTCGAAATTCTGAGCTCTGAGCTGCCGCGCAAGAGGTGGTCCAGTTCATTTCGCCTGAGACGTCCTCGCAACTCTGACCTCGGAGATGCCGCGCGCGACGTGGTCCAGCCCATTTCGCCTGAGACATCCTCGCAACTCTGAGCTCTGAGATGCCCTGCGCAAGGTGGTCCAGCCCCTCTCGCCTGACACATCCTCGCAACTCTGAGCTCTGAGATGCCGTGCGCAAGGTGGTCTGGCCCGTTTCGCACAAGACATTCTCGCAACTCTGAGCTCCCAGATTCCGCGCAAGAGGTGGTCCAGCCTGGGGGCCCAGAAGACCACATGTTACATATCCCCCCTGGGACCCTGGGAGCCCCAGGAGGCCCCAGAGAGCTTCAGGAGGCCGCAGGACGCCCAGGACAGGCCCCAGGGGTCCCCAGGAGATTCCCAGGAGGCTCCCAGGAGGCCCCAGGAAGCCCCCTATCGGAACGTGTCAAGTTAATGTTTATTCGGTACCGATTCGTTGATTTGTCCTGCTCTTGTGAAACCCCAGGAGGCCCCAGGAGGCCCCCGCAACTCGGAGCTCTGAGACGCCGCGCTCGAGGTGGTCTGGCCCGTTTCGCCTGAGACCTCCTTGCAGCAAGTTTCGCCCGAGACATCGTCGCAACTCTGGGGTCCGAGATGCCGCGCGGGAGGTGGTCCAGCCCGTTACGCTGGAGACATCCTCGCACCTCTGGGCTCCGAGATGCCGTTCGGGATGAAGAGGGTGGAGGAGGAGGAGGAGGAGGAGGAGGAGGAGAAGGAGGAGGAGGAGATGGAAGGGAGAAGGAGGAGGAGGAGGAGGATAATGTGGATGAGGGAGCAAGCAGGAGGAGGGGGAGAAGGAGGAGGAGGAGGAGGGAGAAGGAAGGGAGTTGCAGGAGAGGACCTAACGGGGAGCGAGTGTGACGTGGACTTGTCAGAACGCGTGCGTAAGGTTGTCCGGCCCGTTTCGTTTGCGGCATCCTTCCAATGCTGAGCCCCAAGATGTCGCCAAAATTGAGCCCATGACAGTGCCGACCCGACAGCTTACTCGTCGACCAGGTGCGAGAGTGTACGACACCCTCTAGCGTTAGCTTCCTGATAGGCATGCGTCACACAAGTTGTCACATAAACATCTCATGTGCAACCATCATGTTATCATGTTCTAACATGCCATGCCAGCCCGCACTGGACGTGCACGCGATCGACCTTGGAAACCGCAGTGGGTTTAAAAACCCTGCTTGGGGATACTGTACTCCGGCTATAATTTTTTCGCTGGGCGGAACGCGCTGGGCGGAACGCGCACACCGGGGGGGCCGCGGCACAGGCGGGCGACCGTCCGAGGAGGGCCCCTCCCCCCCCCTCTTGGAGGGCACCTGGGCGAGCGGCCTCTGTGAGGCCGAGGCCTTCTGAGAAGCCACCCCCCTCCTCCTCCTCCTCCTCCTCCTCCTCCTCCTCCTCCTCCTCCTCCTCCTCCTCCTCCTCCTCCTCCTCCTCCTTCTGTTCCATAGTTCCCACGGCGGTGTCCACATCCAATGTATGCGGAAGCATTCAGAGCGCCCCCGGGGGCTTCCAGACGCATCCAGGGGTCCCAGCAACCTCTCCTTGCCCCTTCCGCAGCATGCCCATCCTACCCTTGCGGGCCCCCGTGTCTCCCAGCACGACCTGTCCCACCGTCCTACTCCCCATCCTTGGGGCGCCCTCTGAGGATACCAGACAGGCTCTCTAGATGGAGTGTTGCAGACCCCGTCGGTGGCTTGCAGAGCGCGAGTCGAAACCAAGCTCGGGCTTGTGGAAGATCCATCCCGCGGCTCTTGCTGAGGTCAGCGCAGCATGTCTGACACGCTTTTCTACCACGACATCCCCGCGCTCTTCGAGCGGGCAGTAACAATGCCGATTCGGCCCCAGGGTTATGCCCGAGCCTCGACAAGTAAAACTTTGATCTGGACTGAGCTCTCGACGGCCTCCGTACTCTCAAGTCAGAAGTTTGGACATCTGGAATATTGGGCCGCATCGTCTGGATGTGGTAACTCTGTGAAGGGGGTGGGGGTGCTCTCGGGGCTGGCAGAAAGACTACCTCGCCTGGCGTTCATTTTGGCGCGAAGCGCAACCTTAGATCGCTCAGGAGAACGGCATCTACACCACCAGATGGCTCCTGAACGGGGAGATGGTGGAGGTATCTGTCGACCCTCAGGTCCCGGCGCGGTACGGCACCCCGTTCTTTGCCCAGGTCTCGAATGGTGTTTTTTGGCCACTCATCTTGGAGAAGGCATGGGCAAAGATATTGGGATCATACCATTCCGCAGAGGCCGGAAATTGGCTCAGCGCCGTGGGCGCAATCACACGTGCCCCAGTCAAGTCCTTGTGGCATTCTGACCTCCTGCAAGAAGAATTGTGGAGAGAGCTGGAACAGGCCTCGAGATTGGGCTTCCCAATTGGCGCCAGCACTGGAGACGGTGCAGGCGACTACAACTTGCCCCAATCCCACGCGTACGCAGTCTTCAGGGCATACGAGGACCCTAAGTACGGACGCGTTGTCATGTGTTTCAACCCTTGGAATGCAGACATGTACAGAGGTGCAGTTCCAAATGAGGACCTGTCGGACGGTACTTTCGTCATGAAGCTTGAGGAGTTTTATCATGCGTATAGAACAACACAACTCGGGTTCGTCACTGACGGTTTTACAGCCTCCTTTCAGACGCTTCAGGCGTCAAAGCAGGGGAGCGCCCTCACATTCTCAACTGCTTCGAATCGGGACTTTTTTGTCTCCGTCAGCTGGCCAATGCGAAAACTAGTCGAGCCATGCCAGCTAACACCTTCTGTAAATCTGGCGCTCGCGAAGCAAACTGGGACAGGCGCGTGGGGTGATGTATTCGAAGGCGAGGAGAGCAAGGACGCGGCGGTCAACATGGTCACTGCCAGGGTCAAGGGCGAGGCCAGCACGTATAATATATTCGTCGGTGCGGAGTTCCCCAGCGACATCCACTTGCGCTTCCGTGCGTATCCGCCACTGCGCGGGGTGGACGCTGGCGGGGGGGGGGGGGGCGATCCATGGTCGTTGACGGGGCGGAGGGGGGTCGGCCCCGCTTTTTGAAACAAGAGCCGACCCCGGCTTGGCATTCTGACACGCACGGCGCGCCGTAGGCGCGGTGGCGGATTGCAGACCGGGTGGTGGTGATCGTGTACGCGAGCGAGAGCGTACACATCACGAGGTCCTCGGGATCCGGCGCGTCGGAGCTGGCGCTCAGAATGTTTGGCCCTGACTGCAACGAAGGCCACGTGAGCTTCCCAGGGCACGGGGTATTCTCGCCGAGCCTGGTCAGTCTCGTGCACGGCATACCCACCTATGTCAGCATGGATGGCGCGGAGTTTGCCTACTACACTCCGAGCAGCCACCTGTGGTTCGTGACCAGCGCCTCCCACTGGCCGCAGGTTTCGGAAGGGGCCCTGTACTACAGCAGCAGGGTCGCCGCGAGCGACGTGCGCTGCGGCTGCCTGGACTCCCCCGGCGGCGTGCACGGCCTCGACACGCCCTGCTCGCAGGTCCTGCCGCCGCACATCCGCTACGCCAACGTCATGTGCCGGGGCGCCGAGTACTCGGCGCTCGTCGAGCGCTGCTGCCCGGTTACGTGCGGCGCCTGCGCTGCCGCGGGCTCGGCGCCCGCGCCGCCCCCGCCGGCGCCCGCGCCGCCCCCGCCGGCGCCCCGCAGCAGGCCGGAGGCAGAGTGCAAGGACAGCTCGCCCACGGGCATCCGGATCCGGGGCCGCAGCTCGCTGGCGGCCTGCTCCGAGCTCCGGGACGCCTGCGAGCAGAGCGTGGTGCGCCAGCGCTGCTGCGAGACGTGCGCGGCCGACGTTTCGGAGACCGCGGAGCCCGAGTGCGAGGACGAGAGGGACCCCCATCTGGTAAGGCCTCGGGCTGCGCACGGGCAGCCCTCCCAGGTAGGTCCAGGCTGGCCTCCACAGGGCCCCCGAGTGGTCCCAGCTGGCCTCAGCTCGGGGGCGGCACAGAAGGGGGTGGTGACCAGGGGGGGGAGATCATAGCGGGGGCCATGACATCTCCCCAGATTTCACGGTGCCTCTTCTCATTTCAATACGTCCCCAGCCCCCCCTCTAGGCCGCGCACATGCCGCTGGCCCTGATTTGCGCCCTCCGCTTGGACGCCTCCCTCTTGGCCGCCTGTTGATTGGGGGGCTCCACGATCTTGGACGACCCCGATCAACAGGCCCCCCGAGTAGTCCGGGGATCCGTGCCAAAGGGTTGGGCTGGTGAGACCGCCCCCGGCCGCTCGGGTGGCTTGTGGAGGCCAGCCAGGACTACTCGGAGCGTATCTTGAGACCAGCTTGGACTACCTGGGGGGGGGGGCTGCCTTTGCGCAGTCGGAAGCCTTACCACCCCCGTCTCCGCCTGAACCACAAGGCGGTCACGTGCCTCGAGGCCGCCGGGGCGTGCGACAACAAGGCCGTCCGGGAGCGCTGCTGCGAGACGTGCCGCCTTCAGGACGAGAAGGGCGAGCAGCCTTCTGTGAAGGTGTCGCGCACGGCGTGAGCATCTTTGGGGCGAGAGCCGAAAAGGAAGAGAAGGGTGCGGGAGCGCGGAGGAGAAGGTCGACGATGGCGAGAAGATACTGGGGAGGGAGGTCGAAGATGTCGGTTACGCCGAAGTTGTGGGTGGCGACAATGGCTAAGTTTCGAGGAAGAGACGCCACTAACTGGCAAGAGCATCAAGCATAGTTGCGAGCAAGGCGTTGCAGCAAGATTACTCCGTTGCGACACTGGCTGCTAACACACATCTCCTTTGTCGCAGCAGCGCGCTCCGCAAAACAGTGCAAATGCCGTGCTCTGCCGCCGCTGTCGGCTCATAACACAGCGCCGAGACGAATTCGAGAGGTGCGGAGGTAGGAAGCAGAGATGCATACCTCAAGTGTGAATGTGTGATGGTTCGCCAGGAGGTCTGACACCGAAAGAAGTGAGTCAGCTCCGAAGTGCATCCATCCGGTGGCTCGCCATGAAGAGCAGGGCCCTGAGGGGCTCTTTCTTCAAGGGTATGGGCTGGGGTGCGGGCAGGTGAAGGGGAATGGGCGGGGGCGGGAGCGCATGTCGGGGAGCTGAAGAGGAGGAGGAGGAGGAGGAGGAGGAGGAGGAAGGATGGATGAGGAGAAAGTGGGTGGGAGAGGGTGTCGCGAGACCAGGGACGTGGGGCGAGGAAGACATGAAGGGGAAGATGAAGAAGGCACGAGAAAGGAAGGAAATGAAGAGCGGGAGGAGAATGAGGAGCAGGAGGAGCGGGGCCGTGGGACCAATCGACCCTCGACCGCGAGCGCCCCCCCCGCCCAGTTCAGCGCACCCCTCGCGCGTGTCGTCTCCACGAGCTCCGTCTATGGTCTCAGCCGGGTAACTCACATAGCGTCCCCCCAGCCCGTTTCGGCACAATCCTCCCACGGACCGTACCCCGCTGGGAGTTCCGCCGATGGCGTCAGTGGGAGAACTCGCACGCAGCGTTCCCTCCTCATTTTCGGCACACCCCTCACGCGGACCGTACCCAAGAGGAAGTTTTTTCTATGGCATCGGTGGGGGAACACGCAATATTAGCGCCCAGCTGCTTTCCACGTGCCCCTCACGCAGATCGCGCCCCAGAGGGGGGGCTCACGCTACGCGCTCCCACCGATACCACCATACCCTGACGCGGATCGCGTTCCCCTTGGGAGCGCTGGGAACATCCCTCCTCCCCGCGGCACGCAGAATATGAAGAGAGGACCACCCGGCCACCCCCTGCGCGCACAAGCAGCTGCAGCGGATTTGGCATTCCGCTCTGCTGGTTCTGTAAGTTGGCCCGACTAACTGCGAGTATGGCTCTGCATCGTAGGTGCGGAGCGGAGTGGTCGTGCTTTGGTGCTGTACGTCGTTGCCGCTGGCCTCTGGCGTCACCACTGGACGCTGAATGCCGCCCGCAGAGCTTCGTCCGCGAGAACGGCCACCGGCCAAGTCTTCACGGCTTCCGTGTTCCAACTCCGCATTCCATTGTTTCGGGCATGCTCGCATCCATGGGGTTTCCGCCCTCCGCTTGCCCCTTAGGGGGCGGCGGATCCATATCTTTCTCAGTAGGGTGCTAGTGACTCGCATGCATCATTGCTGGCTGGCTCGCTCGCTCTGTTGTAGTAGTCACACATGATCAGAGACCGTCTTGTCAGCGGGTGCCACACGGAAGTTTGCTGTTCCCCAACGGGCCACGTGACCCAAAACGTGGAGTCGTTTGGGGTGGTGCCGTGGGAAGGTCCGTGGCCGACGAAATGTGTGTCCCTGGAGCTCTCCGCAACACAGCATCTTGCCGCATGTTGTTGTTCTGCATGGGCTGCCCTGGGGGGGTCTCATCGCCGCTGCCGGGGCGCCCCTCGAAAAAGCCCCGCCGGCAGGGCGGCTGCGAAGAGGCCGGCAGGGGGGCGGAAGGGGGAGACGGGAGGAGAGCCCCAGGGCGGATTGCGAGCGAGGCCTTCCCGCGAAGGAAGACACGGTGCTCTGCGGCTCGCGTGGGCATGTGCCGGGGCCGCCAGCAGGCTTCCCTTCCCTCCCTCTTCCGCGTCCTGCCATGCTCCCCCCCCCGCCCTCCTCCTTGCGCCGTGTGCTCATGCTTCTGCCCCCTGCTGGCGTTCCTCCTCCTCCTCCCCGCCCTCCCTCTTCCACGTCCTTCCATGCTCCCCCCGCCCTCCTCCTTGCGCCGTGCGCTCATGCTTCTGCCCCCTGCCGGCGTTCCTCCTCCTCCCCCGTCCTCCCTCTTCCACGTCCTTCCATGCTCCCCCCGTCCTCCTCCTTGCGCCGTGCGCTCATGCTTCTGCCCCCTGCTGGCGTTCCTCCTCCTCCCCCGTCCTCTCGGTGCCAGGCCCACGGGGTCCTTCCAGCACCAGGAGACGGCGATGGGAGGACCGAAGCGCGGGCCGGCCAGGGAGTGCAGAGCAGGAAGGCAAGGAGTGCATGGATGGGGCTGCGTGCGCCTGCCCGGAACGGGGAGAAAAGAGGAGAGAGAGAGAGAGAGAGAACAAAAAGCAAGAGGAGGGAGAGAAGGAGGAGAGGAGAGAGAGAGAGAGAGAGAGCGAGAGAGAGAAACAACAAAAACATGAGGGGGGGAAGGAGGAGGGGAGCCAGGAGGATGAGGCTGAGGGGGGCAGACGAGTGGGAGAAAGAAGGAGAGGAGGAGGAAGGAGGAAGGAGAAGGAGGAGGAGGAGGAGGAGGAGCAGGAGAAGGAGAAGGAGAAGGAGAAGGAGAAGAATGATGAAAAGGAAAAGGATGATAATGATGATGATGATGATGATGATGATGATGATGATGATGATGATGATGATGATGATGAGGAGGAGGAGAGAGGAGGAGGAGGAGGAGGAGGAGAGGAGGAGGAGGAGGGGGAGGAGGAGGAGAGGAGGAGGAGGAGGAGGAGGAGGAGGAGGAGGAGGAGGAGGAGGAGGAGGAGGAGGAGGAGGAGGAGGAGTCGATGTCCAAGGAGGGGATGCACGAGCACGCGAGGCTGGGAGGAAGGGCTTGGATTCGACGCTGCGCACACCGCAAGCTCTTCAGAGCCGATGCGGACGAGGAGGAGCAGGAGGAGGATGAGAAGGAGGGTGTGGAGAAGTGATGAGAAGTGAGGGGCGAGAGTGAGCGGGGACAGGAGAGGGAGCGACCGTGCCAGGGACATGGCCCATGCCAGAGACGGCCCCGCGCGCGTACACTGCGCTTGCCCGCGCCCCCGACACACCAGGGACAGCGATCGAGAGCCGAGACCGCTCCACGCACCCCCAATCTCCCCTCCCCTCCCTCATCTTGCCTTCCCTCCTCTGCCCTTCCCTCCCCTCTCCATCCCCCGTCCCTAGGAGGAGGAGGAGGAGGAGGAGGAGGAGGAGGAGGAGGAGGAGGAGGTGAAAGTGCGAGACGGAGGAGGAGGAGGAGGAGGAGGAGGAGGAGGAGGAGGTGGTGGTGGTGGTGGTGGTGGTGGTGCTGCTGCTGCTGCTGCTGAGCAGGGGGCGCTCGAGTCTCGATCTCTCGCACAGTGCCCCTCTGGAAACTATGGATGCTTGGCCGCCTGGGCTCCAGGCCGCCAGAGCCTGGGGCGTGCGCTGCGCCTCACGGGCATGGGCGCTGCCCCGTCAGCGGGGTGTGGCCCCGCTCTCATACCGCTGGCTGCTATCATATACGAAACTGTACTTAGCAAAGGGTGAGCCTCCGCGACTGCCCAAGCGGCAGGGCGATCCAGAGGAGGCCCACCCGACAAGCTCGAGAACCCACCCAGCGCCAGGACAGCACGTCCTCCCCCACGCCAGTGGGCCTTCTAGCCTGTCGAGCGGCTCTGGATTTCCCCACCTAGGGCGCGTCTAGAGACTCGAGAAGTTGCATACTCCTATGCATATACAAGACTGTTCTGAATATCTTGTCGGTAGCTTTGCACCTGTCTGGATAATTCTCTCGCGTGCTCACTGCCACTCTGTACCATTCTAGACAGAGCGGTCTGTCTCCTAGGGTCGTGCGCTATCTGTACTACTACAACTGGGTATCGTCTCCTCATTTCCTCTTAAGTGCTCCCTGATGCGCTAATTGCTTGAGCTGGCGCTCCACTAATCTCTCCAGCGGCCCCACTCCCATTGGCATGGTCCCCCTGCCCACGAGTAGGGCGTGGTTCAGCGCTTCTCTCAGCACGTCTGATGAGAACTTCCTCGCTTTTGCCACTAACTCCTCCTCCGCCCCGCGCATCCTCAGCGCCGACTTGTAGTCGGCATAGCTCTTTATCCCGTACATCACCGTTGTCATCTCCTGCATGTCGCTCTCTCTCTTTCTCTTTCTCTCTCTGATAGGCCGCCTTGATTCTGAACAGGCTGAAGGTCGCGTCGATGAGCCGGAGGCCGTGCTTGCTGTCGTTCGCGAAGTCTACCCACTCCTTCAGGTGCTCTTTGCTGGCCTTGTGGTTCTCGTCCGTGTCGCTGCAGGCGTCGATGGCCTCTTCCACCGCGGCGGTGGCTGTGTGGCAGTGTGGTGGTCCGTGCCCGTGTCCTTCCCCGAGCCTCCTGACCTCGTTGTTGTAGTTCTGGCCTGCTCGAGCCCGGCCTCCGCGACTATCTTTGGGGCGAGCCAGGAGTCGCAGCGGGCGTGCTGGTGGCCTCGACTCTCCTGCGCGACCCTGAGCACCAGCCTCCGAGTGGTGGCCAGGGCCTCTCGTAGGTCTGCTCCGTGCCCTGCTCCCCCGCCTCCTTCTTCTCCCCCCCGGTGCCCTTGCCGCCCCCCTGTCTCCGGCGCCTCGCTCGCCCTGCCCTCCGAGCCCGTGCTGCCCCCTCCTCCCCCGTCGATGCGGCTGCCGCCGGTGCGCCAGCTCCTCCCTGCGCGAGTCGCCACGACGTGATCTGCTTCACGAGCCGGTGCTCCTGCTTGCCTCGACTGCACTGGTGGGACCTGGGATGTGCTGGCGGACGTGTTCCCGAAGGGAAGGTAAACCTTGAGCCACGTGGTCGCAGAGTCGACACTGGAGGCTACCGGGGACCGTAACTCCGTGGGCCCACTTGGAGCTGTCAACG